CAGCTTCAGGTGCTATTTTGTGAACCTATCGAGTCACGTCTCCGAGATGGAATTTTGTATTTGACTCACATTATGCTATTATGGTCTTGGGATATGTAAACCATATATATAAAATTTCCTATGGTACTTATATTTTTGCATGGGTATGTAAATGATGTGAATGTGTTATGGTGTAAGTTTTATAATTTTGCTCATGTTGGCACAGCTCAATGGACTTCTTCATTTGTTTTATGCTTCCGTTTATGACTCCATTATTATAATTACTCTGTATGTTTGTTTGAGGCTGAAGGTAATCAAGTGATTACTAGTTGGCTATGATCCAAATTTTTAGGGGTGGGTTCGGGTCATGACACTTTCCGTTAAAGAGAATTGAACTCATAACCTCTCTATTGAAACTAAACCCTTAAGATAATTATGGTGACCAACTAAGTTAAACATACTTGGTTTCATTTTATCACCTTAAAAAAACGAACCCATTAGTGTGGACTATTTGTTAATATTATTTTCGAAAAATGATTAAATTACAAATACACTTGTTGAGATTTGGTTAAAATAGTTAAAATACTAATTGTTCCATGTGATTTTAAAAAGGGGAGCTTTTTTGATAAATCTTCTTTCTAAGAGTTTTATTTCATTCAACCCATATTCTTTTTTACTATTCCATTAGATACTATTTGAGGTAAGAAGACCAAAACACCCTCAATTTCTCATGCCCCTGTTAATGTTGATATTTAATGTTGATTGTCGTTATGTTTTGGTAGTTCTCATGCATCAGGATGTTCACTGGTATTATATTCATATTAATTTGAAATGAATTTTTGTCATTGTGTTGTCAATTACATGATGTGAATATTCACATCATGTAATTGAAATGAATATTCACATCATTATATTCACATTAATTTGAAATGAATTTTTGTCATTGTGTCGTCAATTACATGATGTGAATATTCATACTAAAATATACGAATGTGAGCATTCACATCACTACATTAGATAAGAGAGAATGTTCACATGTTGTGAACGTTACATCACTACATGTTGTGAATAAGAATGTATTGTCAATTAAAAATAACAAAATACAATGAACGTTATTTTTAATGTGTTGTTAATAAAAAATAACAAGGTTCACATGTTGTGAACGTTCATATTAATACATTAGATGAAAGAGAATTTTTCTAAAAGGTGTTGTGAACATTCATATCAGATGAGAGAGAATGTTCACATTATTTTTAATGTGTTGTCAGTTCAAAATATATTTACATCAGATGAGAGAGAATGTTCACATTATTTTTAATGTGTTGTCAATTAAAAATAAATTCACATTATATAATAATATAAAATAATAACATTAATGTTATTTAATTTGTATATGAAATTTCCTATGCCTGGGTCCTTTCCCTTCTCTCTTCTCCCCCCAATATTAAATATCAACATTAAATATTAATATTAAATATAAGGGCATAAGAGTCTAAGAAAATAGTATAAATCAAGAAAAAAGACTTTATGGAATTAAAGTATAAATACATGAGACTAAGTGGGTTAAAAAATTTCTTCATAGACTTCTTGGGTTAAAACACTTTTAAATGAAATTTATCAATAAAAATCTCTTCTTAAACTATATCTTGTCATTTAAATTTTTTTAATTATATAACAAATAACCTTTTAATTAATCATCATAAAGTCAATTAACAATTTTTAATAATATATTCAATTAACAATTTTCATAATTTCATAGTTGTATAAGAGGATAATTAGAAATTTCATTTTTTTTTGGGGTCAATTCTGTTAAATGAGAAATTTTGTTAAATGAAAAATTCTAATAAGGGATATTTGTAATTTTCACAACTACAAGGGTAATTTATGGAGTTTTCTTAAGTGTGCAAGTGCACACCATGTGCCACTTACACAAAAAGTGTAAGTGTAAGGTGTAAGTATAAGTATAAGATTAACAATTTTTAATAATATATTCAATTAACAATTTTCATAATTTCATAGTTGTATAAGAGGATAATTAGAAATTTCATTTTTTTTTTGGGGTCAATTCTGTTAAATGAGAAATTTTGTTAAATGAAAAATTCTAATAAGGGATATTTGTAATTTTCACAACTACAAGGGTAATTTATATAAACAATGATATATAAGTCTATTTTGTAAACCTATTTTCTAAATCCAATGATGTATAAGTGATTTGATTGATTGGAGCATTAGCAAGTTCATTTAGAGCAACACCTTACCCCCCAAAGTCCATTTCTTTGGATGGTTGGCCTGGAAAAACATAATTAAAACAGCTGAATTCTTACACAATCTTGGCATTCATGGTAACAATTTTTCCACCTCTTGCATATTCTGTAAATTTGTTCCTGAATCTGCTCATCATGTTTTGCTTCATTGCACATTCTCTTGGACAATCTGGTCATATGTCTACATGAATGGGGGCTTCAATGGTGCATCCCATAATCTGTGGCAGGTTTACTCAACTGGTGGATGGGAGGGGGAGAGAGGGGAATTCAAGTGTTTAATTAGAAAATTTTGGAGAGCTATTTCCCTAGTAGTTCTCTAGTCACTCTAGAAGCATAGGAACGAGTGTGTCTTCACTGATGCCCAACCTAATTCGACTAACCTATGGCAACTTATCAAGATCAGTTTAGCTTTTTGGCTCAAAGCCTCTATCAAGGACTTCCCTTTCTTAGTCAATAATGTTGTTCTCAATTGGAGGCAAATCATGGACTACTATTGAGTTTGGTATTGATAAACAGGAGTGGTGGACGAACAGATGAACTGATATGTTGACTATAGGTGGTTGATCTTTGTTGTCGGTTTTGTTAATCTATTTTATTGGAGGTGTTTTGTTGCTCAGCTGATGGAGGTGTTGATCTATTGATCTGTTTTGCTGGAGGTGTGTTGTAGCTTAGCTATATTATGTTGTGGACCAAATGATATAGTTGTTGTGTTAATGTTGCTCAGTTGTGTTAATGTTGCTCAACTGTGGTGTTGGTTCTTTGTTCTGTTTTTCAGTTGATTACTCACCAACTTTGGGTGTGCTAACAAATGATAGGATGGGCTTTGGGATGCCAACTTAGTTGGGATGTTTTAGCTCATTGTGAAGCTTGCACTTCCCTTCCTTTATTGTTGTTTTGTTTTGTACTTTGTACTTTGCTCATACATCAATAAAGTTTCTTTTGTCGATAAAAAAAAAGAAAAAAAAAAGTGATTTGATTGATTGATAATTGAAAAAAGATATGTGAAAGAGTGCTACCTTTAATATCTTAATTTATTACTATATCATTGAGCTTAAAAAGTGGGTCTAATTATGAAAAAAGTATTAGTATATTAAATGCGGCATCATTTCTTATATCTTCTTTAATTATCAATCTGTTGGCTTTTTTGGCTTTTGAATGTTACTTTTGTAATTATGAGCGTGCCAGCAAGGATCAATCAGTCCTTACAGAAAATTAATTGCCAACCAATTATCAAACGATTATGTTTTAGTTCTTTCAGCCTCAATGAAGAGGAATTTTACTGGTGGCTTGATTTAGGAGAATTAAGCAAATAGCAATTAAATGAAGAACAATTGAAGCATTTCATTAAAATGAAAAACTTACAATGATCCAAACTCAGCCTCGTAGAGGTTTACAACAACAATCTACTTGAAACTACTCCTATGAACGAAGTGCAGTGCAGGAATTTTAAAGTACAAAAATGTAAAGAACAAGAAATGTAAAACTGGAAAGAAAATAAAGTAGAATAAGACTGGTTTTTTGGATCTGAGTTTGGGGCTTTTTTCTGGGGCCTTCTCTGCTATTTATACTTCTCAATGATGACCATCAAACTACATTTCCAACCGTCAAACTGCTCCTCCATGATCGCTAATCATGTTGCCTTATAATTAGCTCCACTATGCCATCTCTTGCAGTCAGGCTTCCTTTCTAATTTTGAATTTGAATGTGAGTAACCGTTGAAGCCACACCACTTTGCATCTCTTTGCTAATCCAGTGCTACTCAGATCTCGTAATAACCAATGCTAACTGCCACGTATACGATTATGATTGAAAACTTGAATAGTCTTCCTACATTACCCTTATTCTGCTACGCGTCGAATTGTAATTGGCTTGTACAAAATATATAGCCAACACAATCAATCATATTACTTATACATCATTTGATCAAAAAAAATTAATCTAAAAAATGAACTTGTATACCTGGGCGTAGCTACATCGTAGGTCATAGGTTCAGATGAATAATTTTATAGATAATTGGTGTTTATTTAATATTTTAACTAATACTTTGTAATATCATGCAATAAATTAATTTTTTTTTTGTTGATATTTTGGAATTTCATCAAAATGACCCCACTAAATTATATTGTTGGAGAGAATGCTATTGTCTAACATGAGAAAGTCCAGAAAATGTGATTCTTATTAGAAATTTAATTCAAAATAAAATATGAAATGGAATGTTTTTAGCTTTTGATATTTTTTTCATGTATATATATATATATGTATATTTTTGGGTTAGCGAAAGTCTATGGTTAATTGTTAAATTAACACTTAGGGAAGTTGAAATTCACACCCATACAGTTTGCAAGATCTTGCCCGCTCATTTCACTCTTAGGAGTGGAACCAAGACCTCCCTTTAGGAGAGACTTGGCAGCCAAATGACTAGCTAAATTTTTTTAAATAAGTTAATACTTGTTTAATATATTGATTACTTATTGAGGCTTTATTTGAGAATATGGTACTCTAGTAAATTTTTTGCCTTTTACGAAAAAATGTGCAGAAAAATAGAGAGAGTGATATAACAACTTATAGTGACTTTTTGACTAAATTTACTTAGTTCCCAAACATAGCCTAAATCCACGGTAAATAAATTCTAGATCCACCAGTGCTTGTATATCATTATTATTATTATTATTATTATTTTAAGGAAAAAAGAAAAAGTGAAAATAGAGTCAACTTTGTATAGGAGTAATTAGGAAATGACATGGAAATTTTTGAGGACCGACAAGGGGCTCGAATGCTGCCATTAATGGAGGCGACAAACCTTCGATTCCCCACTGATCTTTGCAGCTCTCTTTCTCTCACTCTCAAGCCATCTGTATTCTCACTTCATCCCTATTTGTGGTTGCAGCAACAGTAAACCATTCAACACCATGTAATGCCACACAAACCCTCCTCTTCCTCCTACTTTATATCTACTTCTACTCTCCCCTCTTCTCTTCTTCATTCCTTCCAAACATTATAGCTACATTAATTAATTTGTCATCGCTTCCCCACCATCTCATCTCTCTCTCTCTGCTTGATTAATTTGTTATCATCTTTATATTAATTTTTTTTTTCCCCTTTAATCCTTTTAGCCATGAGTTACCAACCTAACACTTATCTTAATCTGAGTCTTCCAAGTAATGAGCCCAACCTAGACCTTGTTCTTGACCCATCTTCTTCTTGTTCATCATCACCACTAAGGCCATCCGAACCTCGAGTTTTCTCTTGTAACTATTGCCAAAGAAAGTTCTATACCTCTCAAGCCCTTGGAGGTCACCAAAACGCTCACAAGCTTGAAAGAGCCTTAGCCAAGAAGACCAGAGATACAGACGTCAGTTCAGCTGTTCGACCGCATGCAGCATGGAACAACCACCACCACCATCACCACCGGTCCGGACGAGTAGGATCCACTTCTAGCCATTCTAGACATGTTCAGCAGACACCACCTGATATGAGCTATGGTAGGAGAGAAGGTGAGGGTTCTTGGGGCAGGGGTTACAAGCCTGAAACTGCCCAAGACGAGCTCGGTCACCTCGACTTGTCACTAAGGCTTTGATTGAACCATGGTTTTAAATGTCAATCTATCGAGTTTTTGCCCTTCTGATACAAATACGTCATGTTATATTGATTGGAACTAAATTATATATGAGCCGCTGATTCTCAAAGCATATCGGTTCGTAGCTAATTCAAGAGCTTTTTCGCAATCAATATAACCAGTTCGATCGTTGTAAAACTTTAGGCTGTGCTTGGTTGTGATTTCAAAACAGGATTATACACTATAGTTTGAGTATGATGTTTGTTTAGTGTTTCGGAATCACGTTTCAAACGTTCTGCAGAGAGTTCTGTCTCAGCCGTGCATTTTAGCGTTTTTTTTTTTTTGAAAATTTTGCCTGACGGGACGTCTGGCTGGTCGTCCGGCCGATTGACCGAAATAGTGATTTTTTTTTTTTTTGCAATTGATTTATATAATCGAAAAAAACATTTTCTGAAATTTTTAAAATTTATGTGCTTCAAAATAATTTTGAATTGTATGTTTAGTTATGAATTATAAATTTTTGTATCACATATCAAATGTCACATCAATAATTTCCCACTCAAATCAAAATCTTTTTCAAAACTATTTTCAAAACTCTTTACCAAACAAATTTTCTACACTCAAATCATAATTCTACAACACAAGCTTAAAATACAACTTATACTTTCAAATCACATTTACAAAACTCTACCAAACGCTACCTTAATGTTTTATTATAATAATTATTATTACTATTTGTGGCAGTGATTTTTAAAAACTCACAATTGCATCACCCAATTCTTGATGATGTTACATTAATGGGTACTTCAAATGCCATTATGTTGCAACTGATATCAATTGGTCTTGAGATACTGCTATTTAAAACATTGTAACAACATTAACGTTTGTGATTTTTAGTTTTTGTTTTTGCCATTTGGTCATTTACTTTTGACTTTATGAGCAGAAGTGTTTGAAACTGCAGAAGAATCGTAAAATAATTGAAGCCAGAGTGTATAGTAGTTTGCATTTATATCTTTATTTGGTGGTCTCTGAAAAAATGATTCACTTAACTTGTTAACCAGTATCTTTGTTTACAACTTAATTTATACCCTCTATTGTCAACAAGATATGCCTTCCTCTCAAACTGTGATGAATTTTTTTTATATTTTTTTATTATCCGGACTTTAATTGGATTTCTCGTTGGCTTTTAATTTTATTTATTTTTAATCGGCAAATATTAGTTGTTAGATTAGCACTTATGAGGAAAAAAATCTCTCCACTCTTATCAAAACACCTAAATACTTGCACTCTCTTAATTTAACTTCTTAAGGGGAATTGATCACATGACCTCTTTAAAAATCAAACCCTAAGGAAGGCATAATGACCAACTAAGTCTAGTTGGTTAAATTGGATTTCTCGTGAATAGGCAATGGAATTGATTCTCTAAATTAGCAGACTAGATACTGAGTTACAAATATATATTGGTTTTGTTTGCATAATTTTGCGCGTTTATATACAATTACAAGTAAGTCAAAAAACTTTTTGTATGATTAGGTTAACCGCGAATAGTGAATTTATGAATCTTGTTGACTAACTCAGCAATGTTAAGAATGTTAACTAATGTAGCACCTAACACAAAAGATATATGTCACGACCCAACTCCCGTCTCAAGGGATTAGAGAAGTGACCTATATTTTCATTCACTATAACCTTTTTCAATTATACATTATTTCATCTTAATTCAACCCAAATTCTAGAAGATTATGAGTATGACATCTCAATTCTTGAATTTAGAGGGTAAATCTTACCTTTTTGGGTTGACTTGTTGAAGTCGTTGCCTAGTTTTTCCTTCTTTCCTTTTCTTTCTTTCTTCTTCTTCTTGAGCTTTCTAGAACACACTCTCTCTCTCTCACAAGTTATATTTCTTCCAACAAAACCCACTAACTCATATTTTCCTACTTAAGTGATGACTAAGGTTCACTAATCACTCCTTTCTTCTAAACTCTAATTAATTAGAAGTTTAAATTAATAAATCACATTGACTTAACTTATATTAAATTCACTTAAATTACATCAATTCCCATGATAGTCTAATGTGAATTAGACTCTAATTTCCTATGCGAACATTTAAATTCAACCTTATGGTTACTGATTTAGATAGGTTCAATTAATATCCTAACCATATATGTTCACAATAACACATTTCAATTCACACATAGCACATAATAGCACAAAACACATAATCAATGTAAATCATATGATTACTTAATTAATCAAGGAGGTGGTTGTTACAATATATGTGTGTCTTCCATTTAACACGAGTCCCATCTAATATCATATATAGCAATTGGTATAATTATTGACCCAATTACGCCTACTAAGACCAATGTTCGATAACAAAATAGCCTTTTATTCCCGAATTCCACACTAGGATCTATATATCTGATAGCCCAGGGTAGAAAATTTTTGATTTCTCACCACAGGCCGGTGGCTTAATTCACACTGTTGTCAGTTGCTTAAAGAACAAAAATGTTAGAGATTCTAAATAATTTATTAAATATTTTATTAAACGCACGTATTGGTGTGAAATTTATGTGAGTTTTGATGTAACTCTCATACCTATGTAAATATTGTATAGAATATTCAATAATTGTTTGTGGTCTCTAGCTCGTTAAAGAGTCCAAAAAATCTGTAGTCTCATTAGTTCCATGTGTAGGAATTGCTTAACAATGTCTTCATCAATGAACTTGGTTGGGGGAGATAAGGTGCCTATAAGTCCATGTACTTCTAGAATACACTAATTGTTGTAGAAAATGCGTGTTTAAATAAAATAATAAATAAGATTCAGTTTTATTTATAAAAATAAAATAAAAAATAATAACAATGGTTAAAGTGGAAATTACAACTTGTTAGAAGAAATAAATTAACATAATTCAAATAAAATATTAGAAAGAAATAAACAAAGGAAGTAAATCGAACTTGTGGTAAACACAATTTTTTTAAAACAGATGACAACACTTGAAAAGCACACTTGAAAGAATAATTTAGACAGATTGACAAGACAACAAGAGAGTAAGGAAATTTTGGAGACAAACCCAAGTGCTCTCTATTTATACACACTACAACATATCAAAGTTTTAGAGAATAAATTTTTTAGTCTCTAAAAGTGAAAAATTTGTTGTAAAAGACATTTGGAGACCAATTTCTGTTGTCGTGAAGATAGTCGCTAAAAGATCGTCGCTAAAAGATCGTCTCGAAAAGTCAAAAATAAAGCTTTTAACGCCAAAATTTTGAAAATGTCACTGATAAATACACTTTAGGCAGAAAATAATTTGATCTTTTGAGACAAAAAAAATTTGGTCCTAAGAAAATAATAATTAATCACTAATGTCCAATTTTCATTGCAAAAAATAAAATAATGATACTTTTTGCAACAAAAATATTCGATCTTTAAAAATAATTTTGTCCATAAATTTTTTACTCTAAAACCTTACTTTTTTGTAGTGACAGATAAGGGAAGAGAGGAGGAGCCTCCTACCATGAAGGCTAGTCATCAATTCTAACTATTAGGGTTAGAGTTACAAATGTTACAAACCTACATGTGCACAATATACATAAATAAATATGTATATGATGCTGCAATATGAGAATTCAAACCAGACGGGTCGCTAAATGGATACGGTGTTGGGCCACAACCCAATCCAAGCCCAATCTCAAACACATATACAAGCTAAGCCTAGCACAACTCATGCTCAAGACTAGATCCCAACACATGCACATGCCATTTTCTACACTCTGCACAAGTTGGTGGTGTATTGCCTCATTGTTGGAGTTACTAGATGTTCCTGTGTTCGACCTTTATTTACTGCGGCCACTGGTCCCCTGTTCACCTCAAAACCTTGCCTTTTTCCTTTCCATCCCGAAAATTTATTCTATGCAACTATGTTGGATTTAGACATGAAGGCCCTATCTAGAATGTCAACATATTTGGGCAGTTAAAGGACATTGACCCTCTTTAGAATGGATTCTCAGAGTCCCCCTTCAAACTTTCTGGCCTTCTTGTACTCAGTATCCATTATGTGTGGGGCAAATCTAGCTAACTTGGTGAATTAATATGAGGCCCCTAACCTTTGTAAATTTATTAAGTTCTTAACTTTTGAATTCTTTCAATAAGACCCTTAAATCCTTATTTATCAAACATGCGCACCAACCGAAAACTCAAAAATCCTGATTGAACCCAGAGCTCAGGGATTATTTCCAAAACCCTAATAATAATTAATTAATTTTCTAATTATATTTTCTATACAAGAAACCCTAGGTTTCCCGTTCTCTGTACAATTCGTTGTTTAATTCAAAGCAAAGAAACTTTAACCGAATTAAATTTGCAGATTCTAAATAAATTAAACACTATACTTAATTAAATGTTCAACTTCATAAAATAAGATTTTGGCCCTCATATTTTTCTTGAATCACATGTTAACCCCAAACTAATACCATCACATATATAAACCTTTCTTAAATAAATAATTTTGTACTCAAAATATCTTCAAATTGTGCACAAAAAATCAAAACAAATTCCCCAAAATTCCTTGCACATAGGCCAGCTACCCCCTTTAATATATATGTATATATATATGTATTTTTGAGACAAATTTGCTGGATTTTAGGAAGATTATTTGACCAAGGTAAAATTACATTATGTATATGTCTTGTACTTGTAACCAAGTTAGTTTGCTTAAGCCCTGATCATGTTTTGGTACACAATTAGGCTTCATAATCATCTTACATTCCATTAAATTCAAACTAAATCCAAATATACAATCCATTTCCAACCAAAGGGCAATTTGGACATTTCACACCAATTTCGCTATAAATAAACTAATCATCTCTGTACTTTTGAGCGCAAAACACACTCACACACTTACATATCTAGCTGAGAGGAAAGAGAGAGAAAGAGAGTGAGCTATGGTGGTAGAGAAGAGAAAAAGAGAAGAATCTTTGTGAAAACTCTTCAACTAGGCAACAACTAAGTCACCTTACTATCTCTCCTTCTATTTCCTTTTCAAATATATGCTATTAGAAGTTTAGAATCATATTTTCAGATGTGTCGTAATGGTGTTCTTGTGTTCAAATTTGATGAGTTGGGTTTTGATCCTTCTTCTACTCATATTTCCTCTGAATAGATGCAAAACTACTTTTTTCTTCCCATATCTCACATTATTTCCAAATGCATACCATCACTCTAAAAATTTGAGTTATTGATAAATTATTTAGTATGTTTTCATCACAAAAGAAGCAAAAATTTCCCTTAGTTGGCCTCTCTTCTCACCAATCTTCTTATTTTGAGTATTGTGAATGA